GCTGTCCAAGCTATTTAAACTCTACCCTGTCTTGTGGAAGTATCCATGCTGAGACAGAAAATTTTCTCACCACAGAAATGCTTCTAGAGGAATCTTACTGATAGACCAAGAGATAAGACTGCAAAGTGTGTTCTGAAGTTCTAAGCCTTCATAAGGGTGCCCACACGTACAGCATGTAGGCTAGGACCAACTCGTACCTGGATTGCCCTGCAGGTCTCAGCATTGTCTTGCATTCTAGCTGGAAACCCATAGTCTCACATTGTGCCCCAGTTCTGGTAACCACTACACTTGTTTTTGTCAGAAACATAAGAAAGAATAAAGGCAACAAATGGTGCCTGAAAACCCAGGAAGAAAGTTGAGGAATTTTCCAGCCAGCTCTGATAACCCACATCTCTCTGAAGGACCTGCAGGGACATCATAGCTAGAGGTATATAAACATGGACCACATAATTTTATTTCTGGACCTTCCACCCTAAAGAAGCTATCAGTATCCAAAAGATCAGCTAGGTGTGTTACAGCTAGAGGGAGGTCTATGATCTCCTGTCATGGAGCTGTGTGAAGTGCTTACAGACAGTGCTGCATTCATTTATTTCTCTGCCATGAGACTAAGTTTCACTCGAGTTCTAAGGACCTATTTAGAAAGACAAGTCTGAAGGCTACACCTCAGCCCAAATTTTGGGTTAGATAAAGTAGAAAACTACAAACTCTGAGAATTGCTTAGTTCTTAAAGGGCAATGCAGCAAAGCTGAGAACAGGTTTAATCCATCTGGCTACAGTTAGCCCTCTGGCAGATGAGGTTACCCTAGTGTTAAGGCTAGACCAAATGAGAGGATGAGATTATGTACAGACAGAATCGCAGTATCTCCTACATTAAGAAGCAACTTGCCAAGTGAAAAGGGAAAACGAATGAAGGAAGAAGCCATCGTCTATATTGCTGAGGTGACACAAAGCGTAAGGTTTCAGCATACAGAGGCTCAGTAGTAGCATGATTAATGTGCAAGTTCAAAAGGTGACTGCAGAGGCCAGAGAGGACACCTGGGTGGGTGTATTTCTGGAATAACCGGGGAATTAGGTCTGGAGAAAACATTTAGGATAGATGTGGTTATGTTCAAAGTTAGCAGAGATCATTGACCTAAGGTATCATCTTGATCCATAAGGGGACATAGGTCTAACTTGGAGATTAACCCCAGGACGAATCATCTGGCAAACCCTTCAGCTGTTTAAAAGACTATGGCTGAGGCTGACGGCAGCATTACAGCCCAGGTCAGCAAAGGCCAACAAACCAAGGCACTGGCTGTGCTCAAAAGAGACTACCAGAAAAAGATGGATAAAAGACAACTGATTAACTTAACCTTCAGATTGGAGGTGTATTTTAGAGTAAAGTTAGTTGACAGAAAGCTGAGGTTTGAGCATGAGTATTAAGTTTTTGACCAGAAGAGGCCATTTATCTAATGTAATTATCTGTTTTAGAAAGCACATACAAGGTAACTGGAGCTTGGCCAGTCAAATGACACCTACATTTGCTTCTGAGGAAAATTATAGTTCATGGAATTAATGCTATGACAAAGGCTTGCCTAGGACTGAGTTTATAGTTGGAGCTAGGATGATACTTGGAAAGGTAGTAGCTTATGCAATACGAGAAGAGGGGGTGATAGGAGCCAGTTAAGTACACATACATAGTCCAAGCTGAGACAGGTACTTGCTTTGTTACAATTAGGTCTAAGAGGCAAGTTAGGCAGTGCAAATGAATTCTGGGCAAAATGAGGGTAATCGTGATTTCACTTACATCCAAAAAGCCTCCCAAGTTAAACCAAGGAAATGCTTAAAGCTTTAAGAATAAAGGAAGCTCAAGATGGTTTTCAATTTATAGCACCAGGAAATGGGACTGAAATAGAATAACATAATTGCTACAAGGTTAATACAAGCATATTAATCACATTAAGGATGTCTCAGCTAGATTTAAAAAAAAAAAAAAACCAACAAAAAACCAACCAAATGCCAAAACACCCACAAACCCTCACCAAACCCCACACCAACTGCAAAACACAGAAATACAAAACTCCAGTCACCCAACTGGCCTTAGACAGAACTTAAAAATATGACCTTAAAATAGGGTTACTGCCTAGCGACACCAAAAGCCATCTAAAATAGTCCAAGCACTGCCAGAGAGTAATTCACGCCAGCCCTGATCTCAGGCTAGCACTCTTAACATTTATCCTTTTCAGATGCAATTAAGTGACTTTTTCAGCAAGTGCTCGATTAACTGATACTAGTGTTAGCAGTAGTGTTATCTTTTTCTGAGAAGCCAAATTGGATGAAAACAAAACAAAAAGAAAACGTATTACTGTCACAGTCTTTCAAATAAAGTCTTTCAATTTGGTTTTTTATTTCATTCTCTTGGAATAATCCTCCCTCAACCCACAGTCACATCCAAAGCTAAGCAAAATCAAAGGCACTTACACCATTTTGGTGTGTGGATGTGTTTTTAAAAAGTCTTTACAGAAAATGAAAGCATTGTCCTGCAAAGGCTGTCTGCATTTGCAAATGTTCACTCAACCCTCTGAAAATGTGTGTTAATTGCACAATATTTTTTAACATTTTTGGAAGTTAGTGCTTCCTCACAAGTTATGTATGAAATAAGCTATCTTTTGCCTAAGCTTCGCTTTCAGTTCTGCCAACCAAATAATGCCTAAATCAGTTCTGATGGTTTCCAATCAGTTCTGCAACACACATACACAAACTGTCAATTATTGATGTTTGGATGAATTTGCAAATACTCCAATACTAAAATCAGTGTTAAGAATTACTCAGATAGTTAGTACATTTGTTAAAATTAAACTCTTGCTGTAAATAATGTAATATCACTACTACTCTTCCTTGAAGGATGAACAATGTGTAGTTAGATCCAGCTAAATGAATAAAGACAAGCCGGGGGGAGGAGGAGGGAAATGAATTGTTGGAAAGGGGTGGAGGAATTTCATCCTCTCTTGCAACTGATTATATACTTGACTGACATTTCTCTTGCCAAACTTTATCAATGTGACAAATACCCTCAAAATATTATGAAAGGAATGAAGTTTATTAAAACGTATGGCTCATGTTACCTTTTGTAAATGGCATTCATCCTGAAGCCATTTCCGTCTGACCTGACAAACAAATCTACAAGAAGAAAAGCTAGTCCTCTATACCAGCAGTCAGTAAGGTGGCATTAGAAGAGAAAATGCTACTGCTAAGCCTAGTAGCAGTTAATCAAGCACTTGTTGAAAATGTCATTTAATAGCATGTGAAAAGGATGTGATATACTGGAAGTTGATAAATCTTCACTTGGCTACCTTGGTAAGTTTAATGATATATGCTAAATTTTCTCTCTGTGTGTGGCATATTTTTGCACTTTTTTTAACATGTATTTCCTTTACAAATATTTTGCAGCTTTATTCTACTTACTCATAAAAGCAACTCATCAATACTCATAAAGAAAGTAGCAAGTTTGGGCTTTTTTTTTTTTTTTTAAAAGAAACACCTTATTAAACTGAAAAGCAAAAAAGATCCTATTTTTAATACAAGTTTTCCATGAAAAGATATTTTTCTTACTTCAGCAACGGAACAATATTAACATGAATATCTGGAAGCTCCATGTCAAATTGTAAAATTCTGCACAAAGAAGAGGCAGTTATTAAAAAGAAATAAAAAATAAAAAGCAAACGGTGTCTGGCCAAACAATGATCAGTTTGATGCAACTGCACTTCACAAGTCTTGAAAGATTAACAGATCTCAGAGCAATGGCACGTATGCAATCATATCTTTGCTCAGAAGTAGAAAATAGTAATCATTTGTCATTATTATTATTCATGATATGTCTTGAATGGGATTTTTCATTCTAGTCCATTTTAAAAAGCATATGAGTTAATTACCACTTATCTATTAAAGAGGAATGAATAGATGCTAATATATTTGTGGCTATTCACCACAGTTGTGAAAGAAGTCATTTTCATCATAAAGATATGTTTTTTATTCCTGTAAGCATCTGAATGCCAGTCCTCTAACAGCTGAGGAGTTCGTAAAAAGCAATACTTTGAACTTTAATGAAAGAATTTATTTCTAGTGCCTTTATAAATCAATCTGATGGGACTACATAATTAGACAAAAGTCATATTCAATATGTGATGTTCAATAGCTCACAAAAAAGTCAACATACGTTTGAATAAACTCATTCTAATAAATGAAAGTCCCCAAAAGAAGCCAGCAATCATGAGAAGATTTAAGATTCCTCTTAGCAAACAAACTGAATTAAATAATAGATTGAAGAGGCTGAAATAATAATCTTCAGCTATAACTTGAAATGTCAGCCCAGCTTTAGAGACTAGTCACCACAATACTTTAAAATACAGCTTCATGAATCACAGAACATAAGATTATTTACTGATCAATCGACAGATTACTTTGATTTGTTGCCTACATAATGTTTACTACAAAATACTTTTCCTGATGAAAAAAAAAAGTGATTAGACTCACCTTACATAAATGCCAAATTGCCTTTGCTTAAGCATTCAGCAAGTAATTAGTATTGTACATAAACAATTTTGCAACAATTAGGAGTCCAGAGAGCTAGGGATTTCATTTTTATCCTACATACAGAACTGTCATAAACTCACTTATTGATGGGGGAGTGGCAACAAGAAATTAAGTGGCAGAGTTCCTAATTACAGGGTTACTCATTACCATCTAATTCATTCTACTGACTGATGCTGACACTGCTTGCACACTCAAAGTTAGCAGCCACTTAAACCATTGCTTGCTGAAATTGTTAAAACCTGCATTTAAGCAGGATTTGAAGTGTGGGCAATTGTTCCTGTGCTAGTGCACATATCTACATTATTCTGTTTAGATTTTCTTTTTCCATTTGCATGTTTTCCCATATGAAAATTCATGTGGCAAGTTACTAAGAGCTTTTTCTGATTGTGTTTCCTAGCAGCTATAAATCTCCAGGCTGCAAATAAAGAATGCAACAACCAAGGTCTGATTATTCGCCAGACCTGGTCAAGGAAGCCTGCATTAGGGTGGAACTTCTAAACAGGGAAACTGATCTTCATAAGGAAAATGTTGCTTTGTCTGGAAGCAGCAGTCCAGAAGATGTCTTCAGCTGCTGTGAAACACAGGTATTATCAGTTTGTATGGACACCACCATGCCTCCAGACGACTACATTCAAAGGCGAGGCTATATAGAGCCTTCACTTCAGAAGCTTCCTGTAGAGGAGTCCATTGGGAGTCACCACACACCCTTCCAGTTTGACCGGCATGCTCTGGCCAGAATTTCCACTTCCCCAACTTTAAGACGTCTAAGGATGACCTCTGCTTCACAAGCACTGCCATTCCAGGACTGTTCTGACACAGCTCAGCTAGGGAATCTAAAGGAATACAACGGCTCTCTCCACCACATTTGCAAGAGTCCACCTCGGTGTACTACAACTTCCTCGTTGTCGTTGCCTTCTTGTGTTCATGCAAAATTACTGTCTTCCAAAGCCAAGTCTGAAACAACTATTGCAAACCCAACATCTGCTAGCCCCAGATCAAAACTGTCAAGCCACAAAGGTCCTCTCAGCAATGGCAGAACCAGTGAGAGACTCCAGAACTCTTGGAGAGCCAACAGTGCTACCCTGACTAGGAGAATCCCTAGTCCCGGCCCTACACCCCAGGAGGATGTTCAGGTAGGAGAAATAGAATGATGCAATCTCCTTTCCGGTCTTGCATGTTCAGTGTTGGTCCATCGTGGCCAAGAGCATAAAATCACAGTTCTTAACCTGAATTGCAGCCTGGCCTGTGCTCCTCTGATATAACAGACCAACTTCTGTGCTCATCAGGAAGGGAGATACTTCCTTCTAAATCAGCAAAGAGACAGTGGTTCCAGACTTGTGTTGTGGTGACTAGGTTGGCCTAGTCTGCTCCTGCACATGGCCACTCTTTCTTACCTCTGTCCCTTATCCCTGGTAGACCAGTATAACTGGTTTTGCGACTACGAAAGAACAAAACTAAATGATTCACCCAGTTCTAGCTTGTGTTTTACAAGATTTATTTTCCAGGATCCTTCTGTGGGGTTCCTCCTAAAGCAGGGCAGTTCTCTATTCTGTTTTATTGTATAGGATTATTAACCCTCCAAACCCCAAGAATGAAGCCATTCAAGACGGTTGAGCCAAATATAAGGTTTCCTACTACCAGAGGGAGAGGTCCCATACCCTTTCTTGATTTCCACTTACCTCTGCCAGCTCTGTCACTCACTGGCCCCATTCAGTTTTAAGTTCAGCTCAAAAAAAAAAAAAAAAGATACACTGGTCCAGCAAGTGCCAGTGTCAGTAATAAGAAGGGAGGAGCAAGCTTACTAGCTTAGAAGCTCACTAGCTTCTAGTTTTTCTTCTTTCCCTAGAAGAAAGTTACCATTCAGCTATCCCCCCTAACTTCACTGCAAGGACAAAAGGAGAGGCACCACATAAACCAGGTTTGCTGGCAGATCTACTCTCAAAGACCATGCGTTGCTTGCACAAGCAGTTGAATTCAGACGTATGCTTGACTCTGTCCACACATTTCACTGAACTGACCTGGATGGTGTCAAATAGGTGAAAAGCTCTTTACTAACTGGGTACTTTTGTGCCACAGACCAAAAGCTATTTCCCCCCTTCCTTCAAATATAGAAAACATTCTGGATATCAAACGGTTTCTCCTTTCTCCACAACAATAAAAATAATAAACCAATGCCTCAGTCTATGTAGTACATTTGTCTTAATAAGTACCTTTTTTAAAAAAAAACAGACTGCTTGCTTGCTGTCTGACCAACTAACAAGAATATGTCATTTTCTTTCAGCAGTGTGGATTGCCTATACAAAGGTATGCATGTATTTGTTTTATCTTGTCCTAAGCTTCACTTCTGTACATTTTTAATGAATCCACTTCACCCTAAGACAAAACTGAATAATGAGGTGTATGTGTAACTCAACTTCAATTCATAGATTGGTTGTGTGAAATGCCTATCCCTAGCTTGTTAAACTAAACTTTTTAATGAGATTTTCTTTCAAATCTGGCCCTCTCCGCAACATGCTTAGCTATATTTCAGCTGGACCATCATAGCTCTGCACTAAGAACTAACTGCCAAAAGGTCTGGCTCTTTGGATTAGCAGTGTCAAGTTTCTGCTTGAAGAACGTTAAACATCCCATAGTCTTGAGCAACATTCTTCAAAACTTTGTGGGAAAGAAAATGGGAGCAAAGAAGCTAACAGAACAGCTCAAAATTGTTCTCATACATGAGCAAAGCAGAACTAGGTCTGCTACTAGATGGGGAGATTGTTGATCCTACAAACTAAGAAGAATTCTTGAATTTGGCAATTCAAGTGCAAGCAATATAAGGTGCTGCACACCATAGAGCTGTGCAGTGATTTCCATCAAGCTCTTACAAGCAATTGTCAGACAGTAAAAGTTTGATTAGAAATTATTTTGATTCAGCCACCTTTGTTTCCTCCAGAAGTTCAAATGTTTACAGAAGGGAAACAAAGTTTATTTTCTTCCCCACACAACAACGAAGTTGGAGCTAGTTACCTCCCTTAATAGTCCTACCTCTCTCACTGATGGTGCAGTGCTCGCTAGATTGCATGATCCCCTTGAAGATTTCAGGTGCGTCATGCAGGTGAGTGAAGTATATTAAAAGCACACGCACTGGTGAGCAAGTCTTGGCAAAGACAGAGGTAGCCCCACAACAAACAACAATACACTTCTGTGACTCTACCATCAAGTCTTCCACTTGTTAATGCAGTAAACATCATTATTTGAGCTGTATCTCCTCTTCTTCCCAATGTTTAGTCATTTTTCAGGTAAAAGCTCTGTTATAACCTGCAGTTTATAAACAGGTCTGTGTTTCAAGCACATTTATGTTTGGGACTGGGCTGGGTAGGAGCAGGCTGATGCAGTCTATGAGCCATTACACAAGGCAGCTCCCTAGACAAAGCTTAACAGATGTGCACGTGCATCTGAAATCACATTCCCTGCAGAACAGGCCTCCTAGATTTTCTGAATTGTTGCAGTTTCAAATCCACTCTTTAGTATTTTTAAATTAACAATGGAGATTGAGAGAGGAGGCGAGGGAGACACCTTTGCACCTTGGTATGAAAACAGGCGATCTGTACCTATTATGGGAAGAATCTGCTCTGACCAAACTCAAAACTGTGATATGTATCTCACTGACAAGGTGAAGATCTTTGTGATCTTTAGCAAACTTCAGGGACTAGAAGGATACCATCTGCAAATGGCTAAACAGGAGAACACTGAGCATTTAATGCCACTTGCCTGGCATCTTCAGAAGGAAGGCACTATATGCCAGCTATTATATTGGCTCTGGACTTCTATCCAGACATTTTAGAAATCAAGAAATCACACAAAGAACAACACAAGCTTTGTTCCATAGCCACCAACACAAAAGACTGACCAAAGGAGGTTTGGATGATGTATCAGAATTTCTATATTTTTGTCTTGACTAATATTAGAATGTAGAAATATAAAACAAAAATAACCAACATATATAAAAATAACCACTAATAACAAAAATAAATTTCTGCTTTAAGCTTTTTTTTAATCAAGTTGAATTTAGTCCAAGGTCTGGGCAAAGGTATATTCAGCTCCTTCTTTATCCAAATCATTAGTCTAACTCCTTAACGGCTAATGCCCTCTTATCACAGCCAGAGAAAACTGCTTGAAATGTCAGGTTATTCTCCCCATCTAGAATCACGCTGAGGCAGATGGCAACTGTCCTCCAAGACTGACTTATATACCATCCCAGTTAAAAATCATACATCCATCCTTCAGTTTTAATGAATACCTCTTCTCCCCACTCCCAGGCTGTACTTTCAAAAGTCTTTCTTAAAGCAGCAATGCTCTTTTTAAACAGCGTTCCCACACACAGCACTCAGTCAGGAATGCCAGTACATCTTTGTCAGCAAGACAACATGCTGAAATGGTGCTGATTAAATATAATCAGCCAAAATAAATAAGCAAAAAGGACAGAGAGGTGAGGCTGGGACAAGACGAGATACTGAAGCCAACTCTGCTGTGGAAGGAAATGTTGATAGAATGAAACCTTTACTCTGAGCTCATTTTCTCCTTGCACCAATCAGCGTATCAGACTCACTGGAAAACTGCACTGCACTATTTCCTAAAGACAATTAACTAAAGAAAATTCCTCTCAGTAACTGACAAGGCAGCTCCTTTTCAGTTAATTGAGGGAGCTGGCCTCATCGATCTTGAAATGCTCCTCTTCCTCTTTTAATGTCTCATATGCCTGTGAAGTGTCATACTAACTCTTTGAATCAGGGATTCCAAACACGCTCCCTGAATGGCTTGGATGATATCTAACATCTATCTCAATACTGTGACCACCCTACAACATTGACTTTCATAATCTCTTCAGTTGCTTTTATTGTTATGTAGTGGTTATTTCTATAACTAACAGACCTGTTATTTAAGTAAGATGATTTATACAGACGTCTGTTCCTTGGGACAGCTAGTTAGGCTAAGATTATGGATATATAACCATATACAAACCTCTAAAAGGCAATCAGCTGAAACTCTCTGTGCCCTACAAGCAACTATATATACAGGATATTTATTTTTCCAGACCATGATCTGTTTCAGTGTCTTTAATAATGTTCATTCATAATGCTAATCTATGACATTATCTTGTTTCACAAAAAAAAAGGAGGAACTGTTGCATTCCCCAGGTGCTTGAAGTCATCCCTAAAGTACAAGGGTTTTGAAAACTCAACACTTCAGTCTTCTGCCCCCTGTAAGAAAACAAAGCAAACTAAAGAAAAGAGCAAAGCTATAGGGTCTGTAGGCACGAACAGATTCTAAAACACTGCATATAGACTCAAAAACAGGCAAAGTTCATTACACAGCACTCCAGTAGTTTGATTTCTACAGAAAAAACCAAGAAAAACATCTAACATATCTAAGACATCTAGACATCAGGCCAGTTGATAACAGATACCTGAACCTTCATCTGTGAAGTATGAGTACATCATTTAGTCATGTAAGTCATTAACTGGCCCAGGCATGTAAGATTGCAGAGGCATATTGTAGATACACATGCAAGTGACCCTGGCATGCTTCCACATATCACAGGTGTGATTACCTATGTGAAGAGCTTGCTTAAACATATGTGGGTTTAAAGTTCAAGGTGTTTTTCATCTAGGAAGGTAATGCCATTTAATTCAGTCACAGTGAAACTATGTTTCCCGTTACTTATCTTCATAAGCCACTAGCCTCCAACTTCAAAATATATTCTGAAATTGAAGTAGGTTAGATACTTTAAAAATCAATAATACATCGGCAATCTTCTTCTGTGATTCAAACCTGAAATAACTCTCCTGAATTTCCTAGTACAGGAGTGACAACTTTAAGAATTAGCTTTGTATTATAGTGCAGCATCTGGATTGTATAATAACTCAGCCGCCCAAGACATTACATTGTGGCATCACTGAAGGTTTCAGAAGCACCTTAATACAATATTTACCAACACTCATCCTCACTAACAAGGAGGATCTGGTCGAAGCAGTAAGGGTTGAGGGCTGCCTTGGTTTCAGCAACCACAAAATGGTGGAGTTCAGGATCTTGTGCGGTAGGACTAGTAGAATACCAAGTAGAATTGCAACCCTGGACTTTAGCACGGCAAACTTTGGACTTTTCAAGCAATTGCTAGGGGAAATCCCATGGGCAAGGCTGCTTGAAGGTAAAGGGGCCCAAGACAGTTGGTTGGCATTCAAGGATTGCTTTTTCCGAGCCCAAGATCGGAGCATCCCGACACGTAGGAAGTCAAGGAAGAGGGCCAGGAGACCTGCATGGCTAAATAGGGAATTGCTGGGTATGCTCAAGTGGAAGAGGAGAGTTTACAGGTCATGGAAGGAGGGGCTGGCCACTTGGGAGGAATATAAGGCTGCTGCTAGAGGATGTAGGAAGGCAGCTAGGAGGACTAAGGCATCCTTAGAATTAAACCTGGCGAGAAGGGTCAAGGACAGCAAAAAGAGCTTTTTCAAATACATGGCAGACAAAACTAACACCAGAGGCAATGTAGGCCCACTGATGAACGGGATGGGTGCCCTGGTGACAGAAGATACAGAGATGGCAGAGTTACTGAATGCCTTCTTTGTCTCTGTCTACTCTGCTGCAGGCAGTCCTGAAGAGCCCTGTACCCCTGAGACCTCAGATGAAGTCAGGTCGATGGAGCGGTTTGCCTTAGTCGATGAGGAATGGGTTAGAGACCAGTTGAGCAATCTGGACATCCATAAATCCATGGGTCCAGATGGGATGCACCCGCGGGTGCTGAGGGAACTGGCGGAAGTCATTGCTAGACCACTCTCCATCATCTTTACCAAGTCTTGGGAAACGGGAGAGGTGCCTGAGGACTGGAGGAAGCAAATGTCACTCCAGTCTTCAAAAAGGGCAAGAAGGAGGACCCGGGTAACTATAGACCGGTCAGCCTCACCTCCATCCCTGGGAAAGTGATGGAACACCTTATCCTTGGTGCCATCTTAAGGCATATCAAGGATAAGAGGGTTATGAGGGGCAGTCAACATGGCTTCACCAAGGGGAAATCATGCTTGACCAATCTCTTAGCCTTTTATGAGGAAATAACACGGTGGATGGATGATGGCAGAGCAGTGGATGTGGTCTACCTTGACTTCAGCAAAGCATTTAACACAGTCTCCCACAGCATCCTCACAGCTAAATTGAGGAAGTGTGGTCTGGATGATCAGGTAGTGAGGTGGACTGTGAACTGGCTGAAGGAGAGAAGCCAGAGAGTTGTAGTCTATGGGGCTGAGTCTAGTTGGAGGCCTGTAACTAGTGGAGTGCCTCAAGGGTCAGTACTGGGACCGGTATTATTTAATATATTCATCAACAATCTAGATGAGGGAATTGAGTGTACTATCAACAATGTCGTCCTGGGGTGTATTAGAAGGGGGGTGGTTAGTAGGTCGAGAGAGGTCCTCCTTCCCCTCTACTCTGCCCTGGTGAGACCGCATCTGGAATATTGTGTCCAGTTCTGCCCCTCAGTTCAAGAAGGACAGGGAGCTGCTAGAGAGAGTCCAGCGCAGGGCAACGAAGATGATTAAGGGAGTGGAGCATCTCCCTTTTGAGGAAAGACTGAGGGAGCTGGGTCTCTATACTTTAGAGAAGAGGAGACTGAGGGGTGACCTTATTAGTGTATACAAATATATAAAGGGGGAGTGTCACGAGGATGGAGCCAGGCTCTACTCAGTGGCAAACAATGATAGGACAAGGGGTAATGGGTACAAACTGGAACACAAGAGGTTCCACTTAAACTTGAGAAGAAACTTCTTCTCAGTGAGGGTGACGGAACACTGGAACAGGCTGCCCAGGGAGGTTGTGGAGTCTCCTTCCCTGGAGACATTCAAAACCCGCCTGGACACATTCCTGTGTAACATTATCTAGGTGTTCCTGCTCCGGCAGGAGGATTGGACCAGATGATCTTTCGAGGTCCCTTCCAATCTCTAGCATACTGTGTGATACTGTGTGATACTTAAAATTTCCACGGGGAAGCACTCACCGCACCTCATAAGGAAGTGGTCTCCCTGAACTGGTATGGGCTTGCAGACAACCAAGAAACAGACCCCACCCATAAAAGCTCTAATGAACCATGTGTTAGTTTCAATTTCATGATGAACCTCAGTCTCCTTGTAAATCCCAGTTAAACAAATAGATCCAATGTTCCCCATTCAGCAGCACTACCAGAAAAGGAAAAACTCAACCATTGCACGTTGGAAACTCCTCAGCATGCAGTTTCCAACCTGTAATATGCCCATATTTCAAGTGTTTAAAGTCCAAGACCTGGCCCCCCTGCTAGCCTACAACCCTCTCTGTTGTTAGGACCAATCCTTCATCTATACAATTCAACTGGTTGAGCTAAAGCAACTGCAAGCAATGTCACTGTCAGTTCTTAACAAAAAGCATAACCTCCATGTCCTGCTCTACATAGCAAATCCCAGTTCTTTCCATCAGAGCTCACCTGCAACTTGACAAGTTGTCAAGTGACTATTCATGCACTTATGGGGAAAAACATACCTGCCAGGTTTCACATCAGGCCTTGGCAAGTGGCTAGATACTCAGTAACGTATCTGCCTACGCAAAACAAAAGCAGTAATTATATGACCTAAAATACTACACACAATAGGTGGCGACTGAAAAAAATGGATATATGTACATACACTTCGTGCTTCCTCCCTCAGCTACTTAGCTACCGACCCTTTGAACTCTAATGGAATCTTCATGCATCAGTCAGTTGAAGACAATAAAAAAGGCAGCTGTCACTTTGCAGCAGTATACTAACACAATTAATTAGGTATTGGTGTGAGTTACTAGCAAAATACAAAAAGATTTTAATGTGCACCAGTAGTCTCTGTATTTGAATGCAAGCAGCCTCTGGCACAAACATGCTATTGGATACAGAATGCCTGTGTCTCTTCACTGGATAGATCTATATCCTGGACAACACCCTCTATTAGTAACAACTAATTAGTAGTTAGCAAGAGCCATCTGGTTTTGATCAGCAGGGCCACCAAGTCATACTACATGCAAAACACATAATATTTGAATTAACAGAAAAATTTCAAAAAGACTTAAAAACAATAGCACGAACTGGCCAAAAGGTTAAATATTAAAAAATATAACCCCAACATTTTAACTATTCCACTAGTATGCCATTTTTTCTTGAAATCACCCAAGTTATATGAAGGCTAAAAGTAATGACAACCCACGTATCAACTAGGGACAGGGGATTTAACTACTGCTTTGTTCTCCAGTGCCAAAACACACATTCTGAAATTCCCACTCACTTTTGTGCCTAATCTCAGAAGAACCCAGGAATTTCCTGTGTTTAAGCTCCCTAAGTACCTAGTATCTGAGGCAAGCCATGGTTGTAAGCACCTTGATCTCAGCAACAATGTGGAGTTAGAAGGATAATTAGATATCTCCTGTCGATCACTGAAATTTTGTACTCATTGTTCCTTCAGCACATCATTTCATAGCTGCTGTGATTTGGGGTTTTTAGCTCAAAGGAGTGCTTCAGAAGCTTCCTCTGCAGCCATGAGCAAAGAGAGATGACATGTTGTTTTATCTCACAGACCAGAAGGGCACAGGCGTAGCTCTGTGGTAGCGAGTCTGCCTGGACTGAAAGCGTTGCCTGGAGACCCTGTGGTGTCAGACACTGCAATGGACTACCTGCCCCACGCCGCCGTCTTGCTAAGTGCAGGTCAGATATAGGGTGGGGTTTGTTCATCCTGTGTGTGTGTGGGATGGGGAGGGAGGACCAGTGCAATGATTACACACGAGGCGTTTGTGGGGGATGCTGTAACCCACACCAAAGAGACTGCATTGTTAATTTAAAAATTCCCATCAGTTTGTTCTTTTTGCCTGAATGTTGTTGTTGAATACAAAATCTAATAGGTAGATGAGGTGGGGAGGACACAGATCACCTCCTTCTTCCATAGGCCAGGCACAACCGGAGCCCAAACCAGGATCTCCATCCACAAGCAGTTGAGTTACAAATCCCAACCTGTACAGCTTCAAGCAGAAGGAAGAGACTGGCCCGTGTGACCCTTTCAAGCAGTTTTCAATCACAAGGATAGCAGACCCAAGCTATGGCTAGAGATTGCCCGAAAGAACTTCCACCAGCAAAATGTGGACCTGCAATCAATGTCCACAAATACCTACTGTGGAACATAGAGAGATTGCCAGTGACCAGAGATCAAAGTTCCTTAAAAAAATAAGTCAGTCAAGGTCACAACCAGCAGCTTCATGAAAGCAAACAAGCCAGCCCGTGATGAAGGACTTCAAAAACCAAAAGGAGAAAGTTTTGACTGTGATTCCCAGTCACACACTTGCCTGAAGGTAGGTGCCACATATAGAAGAAATTTGCTCCAGATTTCTTGCTGAACAAACACAGGCATTCCTCACCTCTCACCCAGTGCATTCCTACATCTAGATCCTTAGCTTTCCCTGCGCCTCACTAAAGACCATGAGCTACCGCCTACAGCATTGTGCCAGTCCCATGACAGATCTGAGGCTCAGAGTTTGTAGGGTTGTTTATTCACAGGAGTTTTAAATACCTGCATAGCTCCAAGATAGCACTAATGAGCAGACAAAGCCAAATTCTTGCTTCAAAACAATTAATATCTTAAGGTATGATGTGTTTTCCCATGTAAAGAGCTGGCAATCACACAGTGATCATCTGCAGCAAGTGGGAGTGTTTAGCATCATCCAAGATCCCATTACAGACAGACATAATTCTTGCTGGGAGGAACCCAACAGGCTTCATGGGTTTTAATTCTGGTGCACAAACTGTCTAAACACAAGTATTAAATCTGAGCCAAGTAGAGTATATAGGCTTCATCTTACACCAAAAAACAAAACAAAACAAACATACATATAAATAACAGGGGGTTTTTTTAGTTATTTTTTTCTTTACTAATAACACGCTTGTTTTACCCATTAGAGTCCAGAAAAAACAAGGTGGCCATTTGCCAAAAGAGGAGTTGTGAGTATTTAACTTCTTTGTTCCCCCTTGCACTGGCCTTGCCTTCTCCCGCAACTAACTTGGGAAAAAAAGAGTTTCGTTACTACCTCTGGAGAATAGCAGCCAGCAGGTGAGCTGAACTCAGAGGTCTCAGCCCACCCTGGGCTCGGGCATTAACCTGCAATGAAGGCGGGTAGCTCCAGCACAGCCACCAGCACCACTGCACTTGAAAACGGTCGGTGCTGCTGCTCCCCATCCCCATGGGTGGTGGAAGGAGAGGTGCCCTTATCTGGGAAGACAGCACAAGAGCTCTCTCTCATTCAAGGTGTTCAGTGGTAGCAGCAGGTCCAGTGCAGCTCTCCAGGGTAAGAGGGCACAAGGTGGGCAAGCCAGTCTCATCACTGCTTTGACCACAGTATATCCTGCATGCCAACCTAGATCTTAGGCCCTTAGGGCTCTGGAATACTTGCCTAACTACCACTCATATGCGAGGGATCTAGGCTGTACCTATAAAAGTAGCTTCCTGGATGCTTTCTTAGGCCTTTCCCGTCTTCATGGGCACCCCACACACACACTTGCCAATATAATCATAAACACCACCACAGTTCAGTTAACTTCCTTGTCTAACACATTTCTGTGTCTTTTCCAGTTGTGAAAATTTTCACCTACTATGGTATTTAAATTTCCCTTCCGAGTGTTGTTCATCATTTCAAAAAATATCATTTACAAGTGTCTTGATATCTTTGCACTCCTAAACATGGAATTGTGTGCAGTCCCTTCCTCATATTATTTGCATTTTATCTTCTAAACCTCAATTATCAAAGGAGAGTTTGTGCCAGTGAAACCAATGCAAATACTCAGATTACACATACAATAATCCCCACTTCATTTGATAGCATTCTTATACCATTTGAAGGAGCATGGTCTAAAACTGAGACTTTTTAAATTAAGAAAAATATTTGAAATCAGCAATAAAATGCATTTGATATTAGCCAAAAGTGATTTCTGAAACTATTGAATGCCATGAAATTTGAGGGTTCATTGGTTAAGTGGGTGTATGTAAAATTGCATTACTGTTTCTGCTTCATTTCAAGCTAACTTTCAAAATTAAGAGTTGAGCTTAAACTCTGAATTTCAAATATTATAATCAAACACATATTTCAAAATTGGCCTGTGTTCAGTGCCTAAAGTTCAGACAACAGAAATCTGTAAAGTAAGAGCATACTGTTCCAGAGAGCAGATAAAACTTAAGCAAACACCTTACATATAGACTTACCTTACAACTCTGTGCTCACAGCACCGATTTATAGTTCATAAATATTGGTTAAACTTTTTACATGCACTGTTGGCCTGAAAAATAAAGCCAAACCAAAAGCAATTGTATTTATTTCATGATCCCTCCCACAAACTCTTCCTGCTCTCCAAGCTTTCTGAAGCTCATTTTATAGACACTACTCTGCAACTGACCAAAGGAGTTTTTTTTCAACATGTAGCCCCAAAAAAATAAACAAGCCTGCAAACTTTGCATGCCTATGGCAGGAGGATGTTTTCAACCATGAGGCTTTTGTTCCCTCCTTCTGACAGGGCTGAAGGAAACAAAGCCTTTTATTTGCTCTGTCTTCTGAGATAGCCCATTATTTGTTATTACCATACTGATGAGTTGCCCTGGCAAAAATTTCTGTGTTACATAAATAATACCTTACATACCTACACAACCCCACCCATAGCTACTACTAAACCTGCCATCAATGCTTCATGTCTGTGTAGGAGCGTCTTGGAGATAAAAGGTAATCAGACTGAGGGAGCTGGGTCTCTATAGTTTGGAGAAGAGGAGACTGAGGGGTGACCTTATCAGTGTCTATAAATATATAAAGGGGGAGTGTCACGAGGACGGAGCCAGGCTCTACTCAGTGGCAAACAATGATAGGACAAGGGGTAATGGGTACAAACTGGAACACAAGAGGTTCCACTTAAACTTGAGAAGAAACTTCTTCTCAGTGAGGGTGACGGAACACTGGAACAGGCTGCCCAGGGAGGTTGTGGAGTCTCCTTCCCTGGAGACATTCAAAACCCGCCTGGACGCATTCCTGTGTAACATTATCTAGGTGTTCCTGCTCCGGCAGGGGGATTGGACTAGATGATCTTTCGAGGTCCCTTCCAATCTCTAACATACTGTGATACTGTGATACTGTGATTCAGTTAAGGGCAAGCTCATTACAGATCAGAGCAAGGTGAACTGAACTGGGTAATCTTCTCAACAGTCTTTAAAATACTGTATGAATTAGGGATATTTTTTTGTTATTCAAGAGGCTAAAGACAAACAGAAGCAAGTATCTGATATGGAAAACTGTCTTTCAACTGTTAAGATCATAGACTTCAGCACATATGAATTTTTCTGCTTTAAGGTATCAAAATACTAAGTATACTGCATCAAGGATATTGAAAGAAGGGGATAAAAACTTTGTCTTATTTTCAAGTTACCATTTTTCATTACATTAATCTGGACACGAGACCTTTATGTAAAATTAATGTATAAGCATAAGGTATATTTTTGAGGCCCTTATTGACATGGTTTAATGGTTGGCTTGGAAGTCCTGGGGTAGCAGTTGGACTTCATGATCTTAAATGTCTACTCCAGCCTAGTTGATTCTATAATTCTATGAAATGGAGGGGCAAGGGGATTAGCAAGGAACTGACTTTGGAGCAGGTCACTGAGGTGGTAGCAGCTGCCTTAGGACTAAACAAAATATCTAAGTACCTATGAAGACCCAGACCTTCTGTACTTCGATTATACCATCTGGAAAATAGGAAGCTCTCATACATCCCTGCTTTCCAGCAGCAGCACAACATATTAAATTCTTTAGCATTTGAAAGCTGCCCACTATTTTTTTCATACAGCATCCTTCAAACATAGGCTATCATACAGTGTTATTTTCAGATTCAGTACTTTTATGTCACCAATATTTTGGAGGAAAACATCAGTTTTTAAAATCTCTTTTGAAGGCCTCTTTAAGCTTTCAGAAGAATTGCTAACAATGGCAGTCAGGCTCTTTGCAACAGTCGGTGGTTTTCTTTCTTCTTCAATCAATAGAGTAAATTTTGGCGTGAATTTGTACAGGCGCAACAGACAGAGCAGAAAGATGTCGACAGGCAGTTCGAAGTGAAAAAAGAAGCAGCAATGTGGGAACTTTTCACAAGTGAATGCACCTACTTTCTGGATAATTTGCTGGTTCTCAAAATGGTAAGTTCAGATTTCATTTCTCAAAAATAAGTATTTGCCCTGCTGCCAGCATGGCAGGCATAAAGCCGTCTGTTAACCCCTCATTGAGTGTCTGTGGGGGAATGACTTAAGTAGTTGTTTTTTCTCCCATCTTGCTGTTTCCCCAGTTCCCTTTGGTTTTTAACTTCTTTATAGCATCTCTACTTCCAGATATCACTTTCTAGTGCTTTGCAAACACCATCTGATTGCAGATCCTGCCGGTAATTTCAGCTGATACTCTCCTATTCTTCTCACTAACGGTGAAACCACTCTCCAATTGACCATACTAGATGTTTCTCTACCAGTGGTCTGTAACACTATAATCTTAGTTTAACTTCATATAGAGCCATGTTTAGATTATCCTAAACAGAGCATAAAAATCTCAGAATTCAGCAGACCTGTAGTTCTAATATTACAAGAAAACAAGGAAACTAATAAACAACTCCTCTCCCAAAAACTCCAAATTGTCTCCATCCATCGTGGTGAACTTTAAGAGCTTTGAAATATGGACAAGAATATTAGACACTGATACAATAACTGCACAATTTACATTCAACACACATCAAAAGTTAGTGTACCCATTTAAAAGGATGGAAGCTTCCCTAAATATCTTCCTAATGCTTTTCACTTATTCTGCAAAGAAAGTTTCTGTTTTCTCATTAGTCAGAGGAAAAGATTAGTGAAACATTTTCCATGTTGCTGCGAAGTTAGACCAGGCAGTACAAGAAATACTGCAAAGAAAAGGGAATACAGAACTGGGCTGAATTCCTCCTTGGTGGGGCAGAACAGGAAGGGAAAGTAGTGGACCAGGACCAGCTGTTGGTCCAAGGCAAGATGGAAGCATCCTTCCTTCCATACACTTTGTTCAAGGATCTGAGAAGATTAAAAACAGGTGAATCCTTTGGAAGGATGACAACAGGAGACACACAGGCCCCTTGGTGAGACTGATGTAGGAACCCACAGACAAACCTCAGCCAGGCTCCTGTGACCTGTGAATGATGAACTATTCAGCCCGTGCTAGCTTCCCAAACTTTTCTGCAAAGAAGAAATCCACTGAATTTGGATAGCCAGTTTTAGAGATACCTGCTACTCTAAATACTTCCCAGTATAGGAATATTCCACCGATTTTAACAAATCTTCACAGGGAACTTTAAAACCACTGTAAATCCCCTTTAAGCTCTCAGGTCAACTGCTCGTGGCGACAATCACACAAGGCTAAGCAAACCCTCCCACTAACTCTTCAGTATTGGCACCTGGATGATAGTTTGGTGGGTTTTGTTTGTTTTTTTTTCATTAGTGCTTTTCACACATATACAAAAACTCTACTCAGTAATCTACATTGTTTAAGCCTTTTTCAGATTTAGGTCAGATTCAGCACAGCTCCAAGATCACCATCAGAGCTCAAATACTATAAAATCTTAAACAGCCAATAAGTATCCATGCAGTTTTCACTCAATACAGGCTAATAAAACAATCCAAAGAGATGAAAAACCTTCATGAGCCCTCCACTTACACTATTACAACCATTTCTTAACCCCCATACTAACTCTAAACAACTTCTATAGCAGCAGATACATGGGATATGGAGGAAAGCATTTAGAAAAGTCATCATTACAGAAATCTGTAACAATGACTCTGATGTTATTAATTCTTTCACACAGAAAGAATGCTAGAGGACCCAGCAGGGACATAGCTGCCTCTGTGGCAGCCACAGAACACCCCAGGGACATCACTCATACCCTCCTCCTCACACAAAGCCCAATATTTAGCCCTCAGGCAGGTCTGGAAAAGTTTCACAAAGTGTCATCTTCTGCCCTCCCCAGATGAAATAATCATTTAGTAAGAATTACAGTGCAAACATGTTCTCTTCAGGAAAAAGGCAAAAAAAGAGTACAGATACATTGAATTGCCTCAAACAATAGGTAACATGGATTTGGTTTGTTTTTAAAGGTATTTATGAACACTCTAAAATGCCTCCAGACTAATGAACTTCTCTTGGATGTGGATTTATGGAGACCTTTTGCAAACTTAGAGGTGTTAAGCAAGGCGAGTAAAAAAAAAATAGTGTTATTGAGATCAGAGACCAGCCCAATAAAAGGAGATGAGAAACCACCCATAAAGCTTCTATTAAGATCCAGTTCTCACAACTGGGACTTAGTTCAAATAATTAATCTTTCCTTCCTCTCTATTTGGTATATCAGGGGTTCAGGTTTCACCAGTGCAAACTATTCTCACGCACCTCCAGCAAAAGATAAACAGGCATTTGCACAGCAAGGAGAGCTCGTTTGGCAGCTGTTTCTGAAGTAAACATGAGATTGAAACTAATTCTCATAAGCAACATCCTTTTGAAGATAAACTCTGACTGCACAATCCTTACAGCAAAGCAGCAACAATGGCAAAATAACTTCAATAACAAGTTTCCTTCTGCAAATGGACACAAAAACTTTGCTATCTATAGTGCCACTCCAGCAGGGCAAGTTAAAACAAAAGACTAACCACTCCTCTCCTCTGAGGTTTCCCTCAGTGTGAGTGGATAGTTCCCACACAGACTGGATGCTCTGTGTTCATGTGCTACTTACCCTCCAGCTTCCAGGAGGAGGGAGACCACGTGGCTTGGCTGTGATGAGCTCCAGCTCTTTGCTGCTTGTGGCCAGCTGCTGGGAGACCATTTCCAGCTCTGAAAGTTAAAGGAAGCCGTAAGTCCAAAGCAGCTTTTACGTAACTTCAGAAGCAAACCAAATCTTTTTCTTAGCTTGAGAGCTCTCTTTCAGGACACCTTGTCCTTAATAGCAAAGTGACTTTTTGGAAGGTACTCTCCAGCTACGTAAATGGAAGGAAAGCTCTTCAAAGTAGGGGCAATTAGCCAGAGCTTAAACGCATGAGCAAGTCACCCCTGCTCTGCTGAACCTCACACCAGGTGAGCTGCTGTGAGTGACCACCTGAGCAGGCCTGGCGATACAAGAAAAGGTGTTTAGCTGATGTGTTTCACCTTGCACTTGTTGTGTACTAAGACCATACACACAGCCAACTACCAGAGTTCAGCTTATGTGTGGTTGCTGATTCCTTTGTTCTTGTTCAAGGAAACAAGTGGGTTATAATGCTGTGTGTCATTTAGCAATCACAAAAGCTTTGAGCTTGGCTGGAGCTGGGTTACGTCTAGAGAGAATTTTCTTTAATACATTTTCTGTTTTGTTTTCTAATTTTTTGTCCTTACTAATAAGGATGTTAAATGATCACGCTTTACTCATACTTGTATATAAACCAGTGATCAAATTCTGGAGAAAATACCTGTTTTCAATGCCTTTTATGTATTTTTTCATGCATTTACATCCATTTCTTCTTGACAGCAGGCTGAATCCATCAAAAAATGCATGTTCTAAAAGGCATAAAATACACCCTTGTCATAATGAAACAATAAGCATCATCTTATAAGCAACACTGTCCCCATAAATACACCAAACAAAGCCACGTGTGAACCTCCAACAGCAGTTCTTAACAGTATCACAGACGATGATGTTTCCTTCTGGCCTAAAATTTGGCCTAAAGCTGAGCCTGGTCATGAATTTGTGTGCAAATAGTGTGTTAAGAAGGCAAGTGTGGGTTTAGGAGCAGGCTCTCATCTGCATCCGACTGACAGTGTGGGCACCCTTGAATCCAGTGCAAAGACATAAAGTTAACTTCTGGGGAATATGTGACTTTTTACAGCATTTTATAGAGATTTCCCTCATCTCCAACAGCATGAAACAAACTATGAAAAATGATATCTTCTTCAAAGGACCATGAAGACTCCTTTATCATCACAGCTAGGTCATATGCAGTGTTTTCCAATAGACAATTTTTCATGTCAATTCATGTTAGATACAGCTGCTGCCCTAAAATAAGTTTAAATGGAATAACTAATCTTGTTTCAAAGCTTTTGTCACATGGCATTACCATGACGTAAATGCATATTTGTATAGATTTGATTTAACTTCTAACTAAAGCATTCATGATGTAAGTCTGAAGATAATTCTGGCAATGCTGGGAAGATAAGTATAGGCACCCCACTGGGATGGGACCAGGGATGGGAAATAAAGTTGTTTTAAACTTAACTTCAGAAGATCGTTGCTGCTAATTCCTCTTCTTTTTTCCAATTACTTAGATAAGTCTCAGTTTTCTGCAAACTTTTTTTGAAGCCGTGAAGGAGCACATCAGAAAGTCAAACTCTCCAATGGATTTCAGCTCCATACTCAGAAAGGTAACATAATTACAAGTATTCTTATTTAATACCAGGAAGGCCTTGCAGCAGGCCATTTATCATAGCATTCAGGTGATTTAATGCAATCAAATCAGTCAAGGACACACCATCTGTCACAGGCAGTTTGGTCTCAGCCTGAAGCACCTTCTCTCAGTAGGATGTTTTCCTTTTTATTCATTGGCATGTTTGAGGTGGTCATGGAAAGGTGCTCTGTATGTGGAGCTAAGTCTGGAAATGTTTTCTCTTCCTTGAGATTAAGTAGCCCAGACCTTGAGGAGACTTTGCCACTGGCAGATGTGAGCTTCTCACTCTGTGGAAGATGTTCTCCCTGAGACCAGACTCCAGCCCCACCACTGGATGTCCCTGTCTCCTTTCACTCCACTGCATAGATCCTTCCTTTATTCCATGGACTAAACTCACAACTGTGTTAAAGTGCTTAATTAAGAGCTCACTGGGACTGAAATACTTCTTACTCTTTGGCCTTTGCTTGCTAAGCAAGAGAGAAGCACAGACACAGCTGTCCTGCCACTGCTAAGTACTGCCCTGCTACCTTTCTGGGCAGGCTTCACGGTAAACATGGCAGTTGTCCAAACAGCAGCCTCCAGGCACTGTATTTCCTGCACAGCTTCCCAGTGACTGAACAGTTGGACATACTAATACAGACAGAAAACCAGTTCATGGGCTTGAACCTTCCCTGGTAGCAGAGGCCACGGGAAAACTTCTGGAAAATACTAAAACAGACCCTATCTGAGGGTTAGGATTTTAAAAAGGGGGAGTGAGGCTGGAGCTTATCTTCTCAGCCCCATTACCTCTGTCTTCAGGCATTCTCACCAATAATGTGTCTGTGAGACAGGTGGAATCCCAGAAAAAATTGAGTTTTATCATGGGTGGCACATAACATTTCTAAGAGCTATCTAACACACTCAATATAAAGTGACATGCTATACAAGGGCATGTAGAGCTGTTGCATAGATAGTGGGTTTATGTTCAGCTTCCACATGAATTTCACATGACACTTATTTCTAATGAGAATAAAGTCTAAGAATTCTTCACACCTCTGGAGAGCTGTTAGAACTGTGCTCCCACACATTGTTGAGGGTTTTTTACTACTTTACCACTTTTACTCCTTTTTAAATTGCCTTTTTCTTAACTCCCCTTTGTCTCTTCCCCCATTTTCCTAGGTAGGAGTAAATCTCAGGTAAAACACACATTATGAAACCAAAACTGTTGTTTCTCCCTTTCGCGTGTCTTGATAAGTTGCGAAGTCTTTTCTGCAGCTTTTCCAGGGTGACCTCTGCCAGACACATCAGATATATTGTCTTAATTATACCTCCGCTGTCTTCTACTTGGAAAACCTGAGACAGAGAGAAGAGTTTGGCATCTACCTGAACGTAAGGTGATGGTGATGATGGTGGTGGTGATGTCTTCAGCCTTTCTGCCTCATGACATGATTTTAACAGCAGACTAGGGAAGTTCATTGGAAGCAAAACTGTGTAGGTAGCATTTTACACAGATTTTTTGAACTGCAGAAGGTATCACAGATATGAAGTCACCCTCCTGAGTGTATGCTCCTCTGCACATATGAAAGCCCATACTTGTAATTCAGAACAGACAAGAGGGGGAAGCAAAAAAGGAACAACTGGCTGCATTTCTGAAGGCAGAAAGTATGTACTGCCAGCCTCTATCATTCATGTGTTTTGCACGTAATCCCTTGACATGGTGACCTCCACCTTAACAAAGTGAAATTGTTACAGAAAAAAAGGAAGCAAAAATCAATCAAGGCACATTGTAAAATCTTTCTCAAGTGTGTTACCTTGATACATGTCCTGCACATCAGCTTGGTTTAGATGTTGGGTAGGAACACAGCGTATAGGGTATTACACTCCTTAGCAGATGATAGGGCTCACATTCCCTGAGTACAAAACAGCCCCCAGCATCTACACTATGCCACAGTGACTGGAGAAGCTTATGACGGGTTTCTTCTGCATAAGGAAAGGGCTATATGATAAAAGCCAATATAAGGGAAATAGAAATCCAGGTGCACATCAGTGCTTTCTTGGCACCTTTGGTGAAAGGGCAGGGTGGGTTTTGGCTGAGCCCTGGCAAGAAAACTGGGCTGCTTTCCTCACTTATGGGTATTGCTGCCCCATGTGCCCTCAGGGAAGGAACATCCTGGATAGAATAAGCAGCAACCCTCTGCAAAGACAGGAATAAAGTTAATTATCTTCCTAGTAGATTGTATAGTGCTGTGTTTTGGATTTAGGATGAGAATAATGATAACATGCTCATGTTTTAGTTGTTGCTAAGAAGGGTTTACACTAAGTCAGGGACTCTTCTGCCTCTCACACCACCTAACCAGCAAGTACATCGGGGTGCACAAGAAGCTGGAAGGAGACAGAGCTGAGACAGCTGACCCCAACTGACCAAGGGATATTCCAGACCACATGGCAACATGCTCAACATATAAACTTGGGGTAAAGATAGCTGGGTGCCACTGCTTGGGAATTGGTTGGGCATCAGTCAGTGGGTGGTGAACATACTGTGTTGTGCATCACTTCTTTTGTGTATTCCAATTCTTTTATCGTTATTTTTACTTTGCCTTCCATTTCCACCCAATTAAACTGCCTTTAGGTCAATCCAGGAGTTTCATTTTCCCCTTACCCCCCAGTTCTCTCCCCGTTCTGCTGGGTGAGGGGAAAGTGAAAGAGCAGATGCACAGTGTTTAGCTACCTACCAGGTTAAACCACAAATGTTTTACACTGCCCTTGCTCTCACTGTGTGAGCAGTTCACCTTTAATTAGTCCCAGTCTCATTACAGTCAGCTGATGACGCAGAAAACGATGAGGCATAAGGCAGGATTTTTTATCTTCAGCAGTGGTGTGAACAAAAGGAACAGTGAGAGAGACTGCATGTCAGAGCTGCTGCTCTCTCCCTTGCATCAACTGATGTGCTATCCCCTCCTCCTCAACATCATCTGGAAGAGGAGCACTGATGAAACAGAGAAAGGCTTTATCCAGTCACTTAAAGAAAAGGTGGAAAAGTCCATATGTAAGTAGCTAAGGTTAAAAGTCAATTGTGCAATTAACTATTTGCTAGTTATGTGGCCATTTGTGCATGAGTGTGAATTGGTCTGGTCTCCCTGGAGAGATGCAATGAGGATGTGCATGCCTTTCTACAGTCCTGAGCCTTTCTTCATTCTGTAGGAAATGATTGGTGCCACCCTTGGGCTATCAAACCCTCTCAAGGGTTTGACAAGGTCACAGGACTCCTAAATCGTGAGTCACCTGTATTTGCTCAGAATCCTCTGCAGTAACATGCAAACAATTAACAGGAGTTCACAAATAAGAGCAAATCAGGAAAGTTCTCAAAGAAGGAATCCCTTGAGTTGGATTTATGTCTCAGAAGGCTGTGTTGGGGCTAATCCTTAATAGGATAAAATTGCACTCACAAGGGGAATATTGTGTCAGTGGCCTTTCAATAAATGGCAGGGTCCTACTATACAAAATAGCTGAAGTGCTATCCCAGCTACAGATTTTCTCTAGCTACTATGGAGAAAAAAAGGGATTGGACCAGGATTTTTTTTATTAATTCTATATAATTTATTAATTAGGTCTTGATCGGAAAGCTATAAATGCACCTCTAAGTGTCTTATAGTCACATAGTACATCAGTACATTTATTCCCCAAAGGCCTCATGCAGCCCCTACTAAATCAAAGACAAGACAGTACATCAGCAAGACACTGGAGAGGTGCCAGGCAGTGCCTCATCCTCACCAGCAGTACACTCAGCATGGTAGTAAGCTCTCTGCCATCATTCTTCTCCCCATCCTAGAGGCTGAAGGGTCAAGCATCTCCTTTGGAGATGAGGCAGAGAGTTAATGTCTTCTAGAGACAGATAAATCTGGGGCTCCTTCTTCTTAGGTGAATACTCCAATGACAGAATCACCACCTAAAAGAGAGGCCTGGGTTCTTTCTCGCCAAATCCTATGAAGTATCTAGCCTAATGGCCACCCAAGGAGTACAGGTTTTGGCAAAGAACAGGTCCCATAGGAAAATATGATTGTTTTTCACTAGTCTGGAGAATTCTGCTGGGCAGACAGCAGATTTAGGTATGCCCCAAAAGACCATGGGATACCTGTGGAATATACCTGGCAAAACAAAAAAAAGATAGGTCCTTCCAGAGTTTAGATATTTCTGGGCTAAGGAAAGGAACCATAGAGGGGTGACCCCTCTTTATCACAGCACCTAACAAAGATGTGGCTTCAGTTTTTGATCAGAGAATCAGTGACATAAGGAACAGCTGCAGTCCCAGAATTCCCCTTCTGATGTTTGTGTGTGTGTGTGTGTGTGTGTGTGTGTGTGTGTGTGTCTGAAACCATTATCTGCAATATCACTCAACTCAAAAACCTGGATTTCAAGTTGCGTGCTCATTAAGGTTTTCCCCATAACAGCCCTGAATCAGCAAAGACTTAGTCTCCACTTTTCACCTTCTGAAATCCCAGTCCCAGTCTTTGGTAGGTCCTGGCACCACTTCCCTCAAAATGAATTCTCACTACTTTCAACAGTTTTTTTACCAGGTTGTATATGGTGAAAAACATTTTTATCTCACTAGCCCAGACACTTTAAAAAAAAGCAGCATTTTTTAAGCAACTTTTAAAGATTCCAGTTCAATTGAGTTTTATACAATTCCCCCAGTTTCCCAACCAGATTAGCAAACACCACCTTTTCATTTTGCCCTGAATTTAAGCATGTTTGAATGCAAGATTAGAAATTCTGGTTCTACAGACCTAAGAAAAGCTTAAGCATTTTTTACAGTGAGGCCAAGATTTTATCTGGGACTTAACATGTGAGGAACTTTGGCTTCTATTGAAGAGAAAACAATATTCAGCATCATCTGGAAACAGGACTGGGTTTGCCAGCCTTGGCAGTAACCAATGTTCCACATATTTCAGGGCATCTGGAAGGTAAAGTCAAGTGGTTGGACAACTTTCAGAAGTTCAGACAGCTGCAAGAGGTCGTAATTTGGCCTCAGGTCTGGGATCGTGACAAGAGGTTCTTTGTCCAAGAGGTAAGCAGTTTTCTAAGGGGCATTTTTCCTCGAGGAATGTTTAGTTTCCTATCTATCTTTACAGTGTGGTCTAAAGTTGGCTGCTTGTCTATATTTTAGTTGTGGGAGATGGCTTTGCTCTAACAGGAGCAGCTGCAGCCTGAGCACTACAAATACTGTAGCTGAACATACAGGCTGTGCACAGTGCCTCGGATGATAGCGTGGGCTGCTCTTAGCTAGCATTCAAGAGACTACGATCCTGTGATCCAGGAAGACTCTCCAGAAGTTGCTTTTAGGGGGCATAATGAAATGGGATAGATATAAGTATTACTACCTTTTTATAAGGTTATGAAGCAGAAATTATTTGCCTCTTTCACTCCTCAAGCTGAGCCAAAGAAATTTCTATTGACATTAAATACACAGTATACCTAGGAGCACGTGTACCTTTGTGCTGTGGTTACCCCCTTAGCCATACATACAGACTTCAAGCATTATGGTAATATCATCAAGTGGGTCTCACCTCAAGGATTGTGTCTGTTCACACACAGGGCTGCAAAAAACATTAAAACCACTCCGGAAAATCAAAACACAGCTTAACATTTCAAAAGCTTAAACACATTTAAGCAACAGCGCTGTTGAAGAAACGTAGCCATGCTCAGTTATTAACTATGTGATGTATTTAACCTGAGATAAGAGCACACGTGTACTCAATTTAACTGCTGGCTGCCTTGCAGTTCTCCATCAGATGTGCAAGATTCCCTATTCACTCTCTCTCTCTTTTTTGGGGTCAAGTGTTTGAAGCAAAGCCTAAGGGAAAACGGCAGTGAAAACATTTTGTGTTCAACGAACAGCCTTCTCCTTCATGAAGGGAGGCTAACACTAGCAGGTAACGTCCCTAAACATCCCAGTATCAGGAGTTAGCTGAATGGAATCATATTTTGCTGTGGCAGATCCAGAATGAATCTCTGCAACTGTATTTGGGCAGGTGTGGGAAAGAAAAAGCAAACGTACAGCTTGTCACAGAGAGACTGAGAAACAGGAAAGCTGCCAAAAGGATGAGTAATCTGCATGGTTGTTTACTGTCACATCTGGATATTCAGTCTGCCAGGTGCTGAAGAAATCAGCTTGACTAGCCAATGCCTACACTCAAAGGGAGCATTTTACTGTCACATTCAAGAATGTGTCAGTAAGAAAACAGGAAGTTTAGACTGTCCTATACGAGGTACCTCATGTGCCTGGGGACCGATGTCAACACAACTCACCTCTCTGGCACCATATCCACCATGTGTTTCCTTGAAAATCACTGAAAAGCCCAGAGGTTTTTCCTGTTTTTATTTCATATTTCTTCTTTGCTAAGACTGCTGTTTTGATGGATGCCTTGGAACAAGAAGGTGTTATCCTGGCAAGTGGCTTCCCTTCTATGAACAGAGCACTCCTACAACATGACATTAACTCCACGGGTAGTACAGTGGTCCCACACGAGCATATTGATTTCTTCATCTCTGTTTGCAGCTGTCTATCATGCTGGCAGAGTGGAGACTCGTATCTCCAGACAAACAGGCACCATTCTGTGGCAGGGTACAGGTTGCTTGCTGGCAAGCTGCTGCAGAATCTACACCTGCAGAGGAAAAGCAAATGTCCTCCTTGTATGAGCAGGAAGGAGAGCCTGGTCAGTTTGGAAAAGACCATCATGTGAAAGGATGCTGGAAGCTGCATGCTATGGTGGATGCAGGGCTATAAAAATTGACAGAAAGGAGCAGAGCCCATGTCTTATGTTTCCTTCACCACCTCCTCAGAAATACAAGTGAATAAACTTTCTGTCTCCCAGCACCATTATTACTGTTATAAAAGGAGTAGCAAAAGAAACACGGTGTCTGTTTTTCAGTGTTTCATGAGGAGCATTATAGTTGCACAGAAGGCAAGAGAAGTGGTTGCTGATGATGTTTAGGGGGTGGCAGGCATAGCTGAAAGAAAGCCACTGAATCCTCTCCTTTCCATGCTTCCCTCTGCACTCATTGATCTGTTGATGAGACATCAGCCCCCAGTGCAGGAGGTAAGGGTGGCCGTTGGGTGGCTACATTTCTTTCTGCAATATGTAATCAAAAAATGGAAGGAGGTATGAGCATAATTCTTACCCACCAAGCCAGCTGCCTGCAATCTGTAATATAAAAGTGCCTGGCAATTGGCACTTACCTGAATTAAATATCTTTCAAGACAAAAATGAAATACCACACAACAGAAAGCTTGTCCTAAAGTCATCACCCTGAACAGGCTCACATACATTTGGTGTTAAAGTGAATGCGATTGCTTGAATGAAACAGAGATCACTGAGACTACAGTTGCTTGGGGCTTTTGTAATCCTGTAGCTGAGAATAGGAGCAGCTGAGAGAAGTGGATTTGTTCAGATGTAGGAACAGAAGGCTTAGGGAAGACCTTAGTGTTGTCTTCGCTGCCTAATGGATGGTTTAAGGCAGATGAAGCTAAAGGCATCTTGGTGTTGCACAGAGAAAGGATGAGATATAGCAATGCAAGTTGTAGCATGGGGTATTCCTCCATTAGATACTTGTAAAAAAAATTAACAATTAGGGTGGTCAAATAATGGTACAGGGGACCAGAGAGGTTGCTTTTATGATGCTATCAATTAACATTTCATCACTACAAAAGCCTGTGAGGAGGGCAGCATACCAGTATTTAAAGGTACCAGGGAAAGGTGGCACTTCCCTCTTTATCTCTGCCATTTTCAGAGGGTTCACTGTTTACCAGGTAGGATTTGCTAATTTACAGCATGCCAATGGTTGCCTTTGTAGGTAACTCCAGGGGATCCAGGTCACTTTTCCTGGCAGTCAAGTAGTTGTTATTCATGAGGTAGCTGCTACAAGGTACAAGCATTAGTAGCCAAAATCAACAAGAGACATTAAGTACCGCATTTGAGAGTGCAGACCAGGGGAGAAGTAGCTGTGTACTATGTTGGAAACCATGCTTCTTTGTTAAAAGCATTTTATCCAGTGCTTTTAACAGGCATGATTCACAGATGTGCTTCATTATAAAATAACAATTCCTTAAAATAGTTACACCATAAAACTGATTTTGTTTTGGTTTTCTCCTCAGAAAGCACAAGACTCCTTGACATCTATCTACCTCTTCCTGTTCAACAGTTTCCTATTAATTACCAAAATGAAACGTCACAGAAAGGTAATAATGGATAGAGATCTACATGGTTGTGGTTGTTACGGTTTTTAGCTTGGTAAATATTTTGAGTGTACTTTGGAAGACTGACCTAATGATAAATACAAGATGTCTCATCAGCATGAAGGACTGGTGATACCGCCTTAATAGAAAACCATAACACTGATTCAAAACACTGCTTCTAGGCTCAGTATGTCACAGACACACTATGACAGGCAGAATTTACATTACAAGACCTTAGTATTTGCCTGTGTGCCTGGTGGAGTTCTGACACTCTGGATTCCCGCGGCTCAGAAAAGTGCAAGGTTATGATAAGGTTTGTAATGCTCCCTTAAGACTCAGTTCAGCACCTGAGAAACTTTTATCCCAGAGGTATCAGAACTCTTGGAAAGAAGTAGAAAAAAAGAGGGGAGGCAGGAGAAAACGGGGAAATGGAAGGCTGGCTTTGTTCTCAGCGCTAACACAGTCTATTGGACATCTCCTCCCTTTGCCTTAATTTCTTGTCGTTGTTTAAAATGGAGGGAGTTCTATATATGATAAATATCTGTATTTAGCCACCAAAAAAGGGAGCGGATGACCTGATATTACTAAAGCTTCAGTGCAGGTGTGCATCTAGCTAATTAAGTTTATGAAGCTGATGTCAATTAAGGCTAAGTGAACCTATGCTGATCTCAAGACCTTTGTGTCTGATTTAAAGACTTGGGTTTTTCTTTAAAGAAGTAGGTGTTCTGCTTCTGTAGGAGATAGGGAATGCATGCAGTGAGAGATTCTAGATCAGCAGCACCATCCCTTAGCAACAGAGGTGGATGAAGGGAGCAGGGATTCAAGGGACCCACAGGCAAGTCTCAAAGGGTTGTCCAACATACATATTCTGGGGAACCTTCTGTAAAGGGCTGCAACCTATCTGGTAGTCCAGATAATCTGGTGCCCCTGGCACCGTCTGCATCTATGCGAGGGGAGTTGAGGAAACACATCTCCAAGGGATGGAGAAAAAGTCCTGCTGTTAAATCGGGGGGGGGAGGTGGAGAAAAAAAAAAGAGAGAGTTTTGAACACTTTTGTTTTCTGCCTGTGGACTCATACTGTGTTTCTAATGAGGCTTTTTAGTACAAGGTATGATGTAGAGCTCCAGGTACCAAAGATTTTTCTGAGGTTCCTCAAGCAAGTAAGCTGTCTGAGTAACTTTGGTAAGAGAAAGCACATAATTTAGGCCTGCTTAGTGCCTAAACTTCATGAGCAGATGGCAGACAACCAGCTAAGCAACTTCATCTTCTATTCCCAGAAATACAGGAGCTCAGACACCAGTTTAATGCCTGTCTGTCCTTCCCTCACTCCTGAGCTGCAGCCCTTCATCAGAGAGGGTAGATTTTGCACTGTCCTAGACCAGCCCATCCCACTAGACAGACTGATACTGAAAAACATTGACCCCATCCACGTTACAGGTATGTGCCTATGTGCACATGAACATCTTCATAAATACCACCTCAGTGCATTGTCTATGTGGCAGTATAAAGGGTAAGATGATATTTGTCCACAAACCACCCTTAGATGCCTGGGGTGCCTTAGCACTCTGGCTTCACAGCTCTTCTCCTACCATGAAGCATGAACTCCTTACACAGATGTCACATCCCATGTCCCCCTGCCTCTAACAGTGACTTTTACATATGCACCAGGTATTACCCGTTCACCCTAAAGGAGGTAGCTAGATTCCAGTGACTTCTTGCTCACAAATCAAGTATTTCCTTGACCTAACTGTCCTCACACTCTGTCAAACCTTGGGCATCCTTCCCAAGCACACTTTCAATCCCATACTAGTTATGCAGCATTTTCTGCAGTTGTCCCACAGCACTGCTTTCCTGGGTGTCCTCACATGTGCACAGCAGCAATTCTCAAGGAGGCTGGAGAGATCTACCTCCTGTTGCTGCTCCTACTCACCTCCCTACCAGCCCTTGAGAGGATGGAAATCACCTACTGTACATCAATGCCTCCTTGCTTAGAGACATCCAAATGCACTGCCAGGGGAAACCAGCTCCAGTAACTGCTGCTGTGCCCTTGGGTGAGGTAGGGAGGAGGACTGACCTCCACAGAGAGTGACCAAACTTACCCTGACAAAACAACGTCTCTGAAGTCACAAATCAGAGCTTGGGTGAGGGAGCAGGCATGAAACATCAGGTTTCCCTTTGGTCTGAGCCACTCATTCAGGCTCTCACACACCCCAGTCTAACACTGCCCAGATCTCCGGAGCCTCCTATATCAAAAGGAAACAAGAGAAATACAAATCTCCAGGGCCTGTCAGCCATCCTAATCCTAAAGGCTGAGAGGAAAAGTTCAAGGAGCTAGAGTGCTCTGTAGAAAATCAACAGATATGGAAAGCAAACCTAGAGCCCATAAAATTCATTATAACTTTGAAATATATTCACCCAGATTACTTAGTATTCAGCATCGATACTGCTAGGAAATAAAGGTAGGCAATAAAAGGCAAATTACTAAAGATGAGATAAGGGGATGAACAGGGAATAATAACATTTTCCAGAAGGTGCTTCAAGCACTGTCTGTCTGTCTAACAAGTCTCCCTACCAACCCAGCAGAGAAGTAACTGCAGCGGGCACCTCTCACCAAGGGGAGGGCAGCCCCATGATCCTGCCTAAGCCCAGACTAGATGCAAGGTTGACAGCTTCTGAGTGCTGCTGTGGGCAGTGCAGCCACCCTCTGTTTTGTCCATACGGCCATATACACCGTAATGGAGATGGGAATAAGATTTTGGGATTTTTTTCCAAGTCAACATTTCCTGCACTCAGAGATTTCTATTTCTAACCAAGATCCACATGATCCAGCAGCAGAATAGGCAAAGTTACCTGCTGCATCCCAGCCCAAGCTCTGGCCACTGGCTACGGCCCTTCCCTGCACACAGGACCTCATTGCCTGACTTCTCTCCCACATATTCCTACCAGCTTTATTACAGTCTCTGTCTATAAGTCTGTCTCTTTATGGCAATCTCTGTTACTTACCTGTAAGTCTTGTAACACCTTGGAAGCTCCATCCTAATACAGAACTCCTTGGAGTGGAATACAATAACAATAGTGAGAAAAATGACTACAGGGAGCTTGTAGTTCAGATTTCCGCCATTTTGTGTAAAACAATAAGCAAAACTTTCATTGCCAATGGAAAATACCCCTTTGCAGGAAAAAGTTAAAGTTTAAATATCTGGAATGTGTGACCTTGGGAAATGCTGCCGATTCATTTGCAGTCTCAAGGAGAATTTTGCTATTGGTGGCAGTAAAATATTAGAACTGCTGTTGGTGGCAGTTCTCAGAAATGGCAACATCTGACTTGTAGTGATTGTAGGGAAGAAACCCTGATTTTTGATCTAACATGTACTTTTGCATTCACTCTTTGGCTGAGGGTTGATCTCATTTAGGGGAAAAAATGTACCTCAATACGTAGACTAGGAAAAACTATATATATTGCAATGTCATAGAACTGCTCTTTTGGTAATGGGCAGGAGGATGACAATTATGCAAGATAATTCTAGCCCGAAGCTTGCTACATATCAGTGGAGAGATAAGAGCCATAATGGTGTCCTTATAATCCTGGGAAGCTACCCTAAAGCAGAACTACCTGCAAATGCCAAAACCTTTTACAAGAGATTTACACTTATATGTAAAGTGTAATAGTAGGAACCCATATCTGAAGCTCATAAGAGCAACATACTTTCTGATTAGGAAATCACTTTTCCTTTAATATTCGGCTGTGGATTTAAGATTTGGGGAGAACCCAAATCCACCATCATCAGTCCAAGTGCAGCCATTTCCCTACATGGGAGTCGTAATATGCACTTGTTTGAAATAAAATTAAAATGGGACCTTTCTCTTTAATTTCTGATATTTGTTTTTCTTTAATTTCAGTTAACATTTGGTCCACTTTGAGTGGAAACTTCTCTTCATGACCCTCAGCTAGACTCAAAAGCACCACAGCTGTACAATGGTAAAATCATTAAAAGAAATGAAAGCAGTATTAGCTTTTGGAAATAACAAAGCCTCCTGCACAAAAAGAACTAACCCTATCAGGGTGTACTGCCCTATTAAGAATCATAAAATATGATTCATGTATCATTTCTTCAATCATAATCAGACAATGGGATATAAAGTTGGACTGACAGCTGTACAAGGGAATTTCTATCACCTCTTCACATTTTTCCAGTCTTCAGCCTGTGAAATGCTTTCCTAATACAGCATGCAAATAGGTACTGGCAGTGCATAGCAGTCTTCTTGCTACAAGCTCAGACAGAGGCCTGCTAAGGTAAGTAGCACACTATTTTTTTCTTCTCTAATTACACAACCACGCTTTCCCTAGAAGAGGATTGCAGCCTGAAAGCAGCCGTGCTGTGATAACAATCTACTACAGTTGTGACATTTGAACAGAACCAGACCAAAACAAAATAACAACCCAGTGCTCTGGCTCACAGGATTTTTGCTGTTGAACACGTACCAATTTGCTATCAGGGCTGGCAGCAGGTCATATTCTTGTTGAAAAACACTGTAATTTCTGATTGGTAAAAAAACAGGCATTTTTTTTGTGTTGCAGAAATGAAGACATTCAGCCCCTCCAGAGAAGTCAATGCCAAAACACAAACCCCCAGCTTATAAGCAGTAGTACTCAGATCAGAAAACTGTAGCATGCTCATCTATGCACAATACACATCTTGCAATTTCAGGTTGAACAGATGGTATGATTCATTCTACCATTACATACGTTTACCCCCATTTTCACACCACATCACATTCTAGTAATAGCGCTGCATGTAACATCTGAAAGTGTGGTAGACACTTCACAGAAGTATATTTTTTTCTCCTGTAAGTTGAATTTCATTCTCTAGTACCTAATGCACACAAATTTGACTAGCAACAATAGTAATTCTTAAGAGTAAGTAACAGTAGACAGACTTCTTCAGAGAAAAGCAATGAGTGAATTCTTCCCAAGTTTGTTGGTACTTGGAACAGGTATCTACTACAGATACATATACTATAGATACCTACTCAAGAAGTAGTTACCTTCTCCTATAATTGAAATATTACGTTTCCCTTCTAAAGCTGCCTTCACACTAGGTGGCTACCATCTTCTCAATGTCTCCCAAGTCCAGTTTATCAGAGAAGAGAGCCCTGCTGTGAAGGGTACTTCTCACTTGGATGTGCTGGCATTACCCGTTTTGTTGACTCAGGGTGCTCTAAGCCCTGGAAAGGGTAGACTTTCCAGCACTGGTTGAATGAAGTAAATTACCTCATTTCAGCTCCCAGGAAGCCAAATCTCAGCATGATCGATAAATTTTTTAAGGAAGCTTTGCTAGCCAAGATGAGCTCATGGGTTTAGCTGATGTGATTCTGCAAGGCACAAAGGAAGGTGATCTGAGTAAGATTGATGGGTTGGTCTAGATGACCTTTAAAGGTCCCTTCCAACTCAAACTACTGTATGATTCTGATACTGCTGAGTAGTATACAGGGAGCTAAGTATACCTGAGGCAGATGAGTGCCTCAAGCTGGCTAAGCTATACCTAAAGGGAGACAGCAAACTGAAGCCATACATGTCATATTCCCATTGACTCATCCCAAGCAGAGGGCTGACTCTTAGATCTCCTGACTTTTGTGCAGTGTCTGCCTTGGCTCCCAGCTCCCTTGAGAGGCCCAGGCTCACCCTGTCCACCTGCCTCTTGCTGCAATACTGCACTCTACCAACCGTGTGGGGAGTTCACATGGGGCATTGAATGTTGATGCAGTGAATCCCATGCCCTACTCCCACCTCTTTCTCAGAGACCAAATACTCAGCAGACACATGAAAACACAGACCTGAAATATACTGCTGTTGCTCATCCCACCCATACCACTATCCTGCCTTCTGCTCTCTAACCCATCTCCCACTCTTCTCCCTGAGCCTTGAAAAGCTCAACAGCTTAAATCCTGATCCCTGTGAGCCCAGTACTGCCTGGCAAAGCACTGTGAAACACCATCACTCTGCACATCAGACCTCCTCTGCTCCAGAGGGGCCAGAGCAGCCACCCTGTACCAAAGGCAGGCTCTGTGCTCTGCCAGGCACATGCAGACTTTTCCATGTCCTCTGCTGGGACCCCTTAGAGACCTGTAGGTCATTCAATTTATCTCCAGCTTTCTATTTTTCTAAGTGATGTTTTTAACTCGTTCAGGGTATAAACACACAAAAAAAACAACCAGATGGGTCAATACAAAATGTATGAACCCCAGCATAGCCTGAAGCATGAGGCTGCCCCTTTTCTTGTGTTTCTACTCTTTGCACCAAAGCTCAGTGTCTCTGCATGCATTACAGCAGGAGAGCAGCTCCTGACTAAGCAAAATAAAAACCCTGGGATGGAAGAAGCACAGTTAGACCTTAAGCCTGTATTGCTGCCAACTAATTTGTAATGTCTAATCACAGCAATTCAGAGACAACTCAGCTTCTGTGACCCAGACCATCTGGGCTTGCACAGAGAGAAGGAAGTTATGTGCTTTAAATCCTATCTCTCCAGCCATCACCCCCTGCTCTCGTATCTTGATGACAGCAGATATAGAGCTGAATGCTGTCAGCATGATTCTAGAAACAAATTCATGTGGCAGCACACGACAGATCTCAGAGGGGAACAGAATTTGTGATGCTGATAGCACTGGGGTCATCTTAATCAGAGGAACAGGAAGCCCAAACTGCAGGGGCAGCATTAAGCTAATAAATATTACACACAAAAAAAAAAAGAGTGAAATAGCCTGCAGCAAGCTTCACTGTTACAAGCAAACAGAGCATTAAACCCCCACCTTCCAACCAAAAAGGAAACAGACCTTCACTGGAAATCCCTGGCCCTAGACACTGACTCCAGCAATGTGTAGTGACCTGAGCAACTGGGAGCCTTGGTTCTGAGAGAATTCATGTTCAGTTCAGGAATCATGAGCATGCACCTTGAAGAAAGGCTAAATAAAACTCTGGTGGTTTATCTGTTTCAATTACTAGAACTTTTTTCTATTATCTTGGTTAACAACTTATTTTTTCCTGCTACAGAAAACATGGATGTCACAGATAGAAACAGCAATCTCCAATTACTCCGTGCAACATGAAATCAAGAAAAGCACCACTTTCTGCCTCCCAGCTGAATCCTCTGGAATTCAATAACTTCAGCACAGCACCGACAGAGGCAGTGGAAGACTACTGAAGTGATAACACAGTTATATCTTCCAGGATGCCTTAAGTTTCTGAAGCTAACAGATTTCTGACTTGACTAGGCAGGTGTAAGGAGTTTTGATCACAGAATGTAGGGGTAAACTGAAGGGGGGAAATGTGCCTTGCAGTAAGTGTATCACTCTTAGAGGCTCCTTTGCTTCAACTAGGGTAAGGCTCTTGCTATCCAGCGGAGCTTTGATACAGCTTGTTGTTTCCTAGAAAGCAGGACAGTGGAAACACCTCTGTTCGTGACAATACCTTCACGAGAAAAGTCTAGAAAGGTTATTTTGAGAGCAATCATACTGTATTAATAAATTTCATTAAATTAATATTGTGTAGCCATAGCTGCTGATAGTTATGCCTCTCTACCAACTGAATTATAATATCACAAGATGTTTTTGCATTAACTTGAGCATGAGATCAGTGAAAGCATATGTTGTGTTGACTTACTAATTTTTAAAATGAGATTATTGAAGTTTCTTTGGGAAAAGTCATAATTACATATAACATTCAGTTAAACCAGAGATGCTACTGGATATATAAAAAGAAAGAAGTGCAATGATGCCCTGCTTTATTTGCATTTTTTTTACCTGAGGTTTTTCACCACTTTATTAGCAGCAGATCTGTCATGATGCATTTTTTTACACCCATTACAGCCTTTTAGGTCTGCTTCAGAAACTCGAGTGTTCCTTTTGCATTAAGCCGTTCAATACTTCTCTGCTATTTGAGATCTGTGGTCCATGTAGCAGAAGTGTGCCCATTATTAGTCACTTCATTTTTCCCTCTTTTGAGGTACTAGAAGAGACCCACAGAACAGCCCGAAATTACTTGCCACAACATTTGTGCAGGTTACTACCATGGAGGAAGGGTGCTCTAACCAGGTTAGCCTTGGCTAATCTCCTGGTATTAGCCATAAAGGGAGACTTCCCTAAAGCCAGTCCCAGTGACTGTCACTTTTCCCTCTTTCTGTCCCAAACCAACTAGTCTCCTCAGCAGGAAAGTATCCATTAGAATATCCCCTCAGAATCAGAAATTACTTCAGGGGGAATGGAATAGAGAAGCCTCGCAGATGAGGGCTATGCTGAACAACAGTGCAATTCCAGTTGTTTACAATATTCACAGCAGAGCCAGCATTCACCTCTACACCACAACTGAATTAGTGATGAGTTTGAGTGCTGCCCCTAATCCCACTCCTCCCCAGCAATACCCAAGTGGATGTGGTTGTACATTTTACCCACTGGTTCACCAGTACATACAAGCTACTGTCTGGAGGCTGTATATTTGTACGTACTCACCTGGCTGAGCGCCTTCCAGATGCAGCCTAAGGCCACTGCAATACACATCCCTGTGCTTTTCCCTGTACCTGAGGTAGGCAAGCTCTTGTCACAGCTTCCTGGGAAAGGAACAGCCACTCAGGCTCAGTGCCAAGTGGTGAATGTGTAAGGCAGGAGAGCAAAACAGTGGAGACAACAGATCTGCTGCAGGGCTCCACACAATCTGCAAACACTTAGCCACAACTTGGCTTACACAGCTGTGCTCAATCTTCCTGATCCCAAGCCAAGCTTCACACTGCATCACACCCTCCCCCTTCCACTACTAGTGCCTCACCAGAACCTCACAGTACCTTGAAACTCAGGCTGTCTCCAGGGAGATGCAAGCTAAACAGGCTGTTCTGTGGTCTGAAGACAAAGATGTCTCAGGCAGAAATTAACTTCCCAACTCAAAGTTGGGAAGGAGACCTCTTTTCTGTATCTTTTCCTACTGTCTACACAGTGGTGCAAGAAAGACCTGCTTCAATAGTTAAACACAGGTTTTTGTGAATGCCCCACAATTCAATAGTGGCTTTGTTATGGAACTGGTCTCACACACATCAATCACCTGGCTTCTATGCAATACAGTTCCACCCTGAAAGACGTTTCCATCTCACAAACAAGCCCTTCATTAGCCTAAAAAAATAAAACAAGAGCTACTTCTGAGCCTTCCAGTTATGCCAATTGTTCAACTGCATTGAATGCAATGGCTGAACACAGACAGTGACTTGAATGCAGGATACTCAGCAGCCTTTTGCAGTTACTGGGAATGGAAAAACTACTCTGAATTTAACCTCTGAGAAAACAGATTTGAAACACAGCCATTATCACTGCCTCCTCGGGAATGTGAAAACTTTTCTTGCATCTCCCCACAAGTCAGAAACTGAGCATTTAGCTTGTTCTTAGATGTACAGCTTCCCAACAGGTCATTTGTAAAATGATATATCCTCCATTTCAAAGCAGCTTTGCTATCTTGAAATGGGGCAAGGTAGTCCTGAATGACAAAACTGGTCAATTAGAAAGGTCTAATTTTCCTTTTTTTTTTTTTTATTGTCATTAATCATTCCTTTAACAGGTTAGAAAACAAAAAACCCAAAACATTTCAGTAACATTTCATCATAGTTTATACAGAACCAGTTGATGCATGGTGTCATCTCCTCATCCAAATCCACAGCCGCTTTCTGTATCGCTGAGTTCAGGAATTACAGTGCACACTGGACTATATTCTTTCACAATGTAAGGCACAACTACATGATTGCAAGTAGTAAACACACACACTGAAAGTAGAACTTAAGAGAATGGAACTTCAAATAAAAAAAAAAAACAAAACAAACCAAAACCAAAACACACTCATGCAAAAAATCTACATACACCTACCAAGATGGTATGATCCAGTTTAAAAGAAGTGCAGTACTCTGTAGGTAAAACTGCAACATAAGGCTATTATAATACATTACATCTAAATACTGGGTAAGAACTTAAAACTTTTCCCATTTATATTTTATGCAATCATACAGAAATCAAGCTGTATGAGCAATATTCACATCTGCAATAATAAACTGATCATTAAAATTGAGAAAAGAGGCAAACAAGACAATGTAATTTGTGGCACACATCCATTACAGTACTGAAGAAAAACCAAGACTAAACTAATGGTACATTTGGTGAATGACAAAACTGCATACAAAATTGCTTACACCCAGCAGACCATAATTATGACAGCTTGTGGTTATGATTTATTTTCTGTCCAGCAGCTGAAGTTTGCAAGATTGGAACTACAGAAGTTAAAAGAACACAGAGTTTACAGTAACTTGAAACAATGGAATACTTTCAAACACATTAAATGAAGAGACTTCTTTCCTTTTTGGTGATAAAGCTTTGCAATTTTGGCATCCACTATAACTTGTACATAATGACAGTGAGCAAACCTTATTAAACTTACCTAATGTTTGAATTTCACACTGAGAGGTAGTTTAAATGAAATCTGATGTAATGGCATCAAATGGTGGGGGTTTATGATTTATTTTTTTTGTGTGTGTGACTTTTTCTCTTTTTCTTACAAAAGTGACAAATCCTATACAAGCAGCATTTTGGACACATTACTATAAAAAGTTCTGGTATTTGCTAACCCAGTGAGATGTTCTTTCAAACATCCCTTTGATGCCCAGAATGAAGCTATAGTGTGATACAGAGTACTTTGCCATAAAGCCACCAGCAGGAGCGTGGACTTGCCAGCACTGACCTGTTGACATATAACGATGAACACTCTTTCCCAGCCCTCTTTACCCAAGAATGGCAGGAAATACAGACGAATGTGGTTTAATTCAGGTCATAGGGGGAGGAAAAATTGGAAAACACGCTTACCAGGATTCTGCTTTCATAGTAACATTGATCTAAAAGGGTTAGCAGGGCTTCAGTAATCTTCAAATGAGCAGATGCTCCTGTATCTGTTGCACAGCGAGTGCAGTGTGTGGTGAGCTACAGACAAAAGGCATAGTTTATTACCTTAACTAGTACCTATCTTCTTCCTTACTGTGATCTTAAGTGGCATCTAATGCTCTTTCTAAAGATGCAAACCTCTTTATTCAGTGCCCTTAGAAAAAATGAAAAAAAAAAACAATCCAAAACTGAGTTTCTGTGGCAAGGACTTCACTATCCAGTTATTGCTGGGTCTGAAAAGTACACAATTTAGTGCTTTTGGAAAGCCCGTGGTTGGACAACAATTCTAAACTTACCCTAGAAGGGATGCTGAGGTCAAGACTTCAAAAATTACAAAGTATACAACTGGCAAGACCCTTGAAAATACACAAGATTCACGTTTTCTCATTTAATAATCTTAAAATGAAGCTCTACAAAGACAATGTGTATGTGATTACATGGGTTTTGTTGTTACATGTGCTCTCAGACGATGATCATGATTTTGGTACAAAGAAATTACAAGTGCAATTCTCCTTACATAGCAAGGGGCCAAATGTAATACAGTGAGAAGTTCAGCTGAAGACAAACTTTCTGCTCATTGATTACAGCTAACACATGCATTGTAAAGTATGCCATTCCACTTACTGTAGATTATATTCAGTTAGACAGCAAAAAGTGCATAGTGCAAATGACAGTGTTGTTTCCTAGTCCTCCAAGAATATGAGAGTGGGAGGGGTGGTACTTGGAGGAGTAATTTATCAGTTTCAACATACTCAAACCATTATACCATTCTTCTTGTCATAGCTTATATTCTATTTGAACTTAAGCTCCAGCAGTTTAATATCTGCCACTACATCTGGTCATAATAAGTTACAAAGTTTTCCAACAAGCATTTGTTTCCATTTGATGTTTATCTGACATTAAACAATCCAGAAAAGTACCCGAGTTTTCCAGGTCCCTTCTTTAGGAATGTCACTTCTCTTAACATCTAGCATGAAAGAATCAGTTATTCTTGCTCATGTAATACAAACACAGCAAGGTTACTTCATGTTTCTGCTCCCAAAACCCTTCTTGCTTCACTAAGAAAGCTTTTCCAGTGTGGATTCACAAATAATCGTCCCAAAACCAACAAAAATAGTTATTCATTATTCTTGTGCACCTAGTGCTCCACACTTTGGCAACTTGGTTACTTGATGCCTTCCAAATAAAGAGGGATAAACCTGCACTGTACCCTGAGCCTTGGACTCTTGTGCCAGAGAGTAAAACCAGTTGAAAAATGAGATCCTGCTAAACCTCTTTCTTGCCTCTGCTGGAAACTGCAGCTGAAAATTCCTTTTGTCTCTTCATCTGCAGAGAAGAATTTTTCCTACTGTGACTCATTAATTTTATCCTTTCTGTTCAACCTCTGCAGAAAGGGGAAGATTACTGTAGGGAATACATGAGGAGAAGAAATAAATAACAGTGAAGCACATCCAGCTAAGATCAAAAGCCTGACACTGACCTCTGCAAAGCTACCTGCCTGCAGAGGGGTTGCAGGACATAAGTATGAACTGCTGACCTGAGGTGCGAGTAGAACTGTATGACTGGCATTCTGGAGGCAACAACGCAAGGGACTGTGGCTCTTTGACTAGGAAGAGAGATGAAGTCTCCAGGAAGTTCAAGAGCTTTTCCTACCCTTAACAAGAGCCTTTACACTTTTTGGATTGCCTCCGTAGCTTGCCTCTGCCCATGTGGCAGCTGGTCTCTCATATTCTGCTTCCCCAGCACTTCTGAATGTGGATGGAGTGTCTTGCAGAGGGGAGAGTTTCAGGGACAAATCCCACACTTCACTGTCCCATTCCTGATGCCATGGTAGTGCCTAGCAATCAAAAGCAGCTTGATGATACCACACACCTACTGGTTTGAGCACTGGTTTTACTGTTATTTCCACCTCTTGCTCTATAATGGCCTCTCCTCAGTGAATGAGAGCAATCTGGTTCTTTCTAGAGGCTGTTGAAACACACCACTATGTATCCTCCAGTTCCAAGATTAATCTCTTCTGACATTTTATTAGTTTTTCCCTCTGTTCCTGGGTCTGTGGTCTAAAAAAACCCAGTACATTAAACTATTTCGTCTGGAATCCTTTAAAGCAGCATGGTAAAAATTACCAGGCTTTTTACTAGGTTTTCCTATTATTATTTCA